AGGTCATTTGAGCGCCATTGTTAACTTTAACAGCACCTAACATATTATTTTTACATTGTCAGTTTCACTACACATAAAAATGTTGATAAAAATTGCTGACCTTTTTGTTTAAAAAACTAGAAGCAATATCTGAAAGGACGAGTCATATTTTCGGACAAGTTCTGCCCAGGTTGGTGTTTTGCTGCATTTTGTTATGGCTATTTTGTTCTATTATAGCAAACAATAGTCATGACATGGTTTATCAAGATATCAAGAATATTGCACCAAGCGAGAATGAAAGATCTTTAATCGGTTAATTGGCAATTGAACATTTCCAAGCATTCGCTGTGACACTATTGTTTAGTATTACTCAATCGACATGCACAGAACAAGATCACTTTCCAATGTGCAAAAAGAATTATTGTTCGCATTATGCGAGATATTCATTTCATAACACCATATATGGGTATGAAACTTACATACCCCTTATTTTATAATTCTTATAATGATACAATTATCCTCTCTTTGACATTATTACTATGTGATGGTTTCCTTTACTAGAATATCTTGGGAAAGATACTTCTTTGGAATTGCAGAATAATTTAAAAAAAAAAACTCCTCATGTTCTTGTACAGATAATAAAGAGATTGCGGCTAGCATTGGCGTTGTTGAAGAAAGAATATGAAGTCAGTAAATTGCAACAAAGACTGGGGAGGGAGGTAAATCAAGTTTAATTCTCACACACTTTAATATCAAATGTAATCTCATGAAGCATTTAGTATGTGCTATGATAAATAAGTAAATGCAAAAAGTTTTTGATTTGATTACCGGACTAAAAAAATTCAAGGTGACTACCGGTACATATGTATGTTGAGTAAACTAAAAGCGGAATTACCTAAGCAACCAAGACAACTGTTGCCAACTTAACGTTGACTTACAGTTAGACCCACACAAAAGATTATAATTGTCCAACTGCAGGTACTATTCATTGTGTAATTTTGCCTTATTTGACATTCGTCTAGGACACTTTCAAAACAAAATGTCACCTCAAGAGAGAGTCAAACCTGTGTATAACAACCACCCAAGGGACTTCATAAAAAATAGACAGGTGGTCTTTATATGGAGGTTGGATTATATTGTTATGGATCATCAACTCGTACATTTGACATAATATTAGTCTAGAAAGAAATAAGATTACACATTAATTTGAGTTGAACAAAATCGAATAAATTTGTCTTTCTGAAATTAAATTTTTTTTTATAAACAGAACACTAATTATCATTGTGGTCTTTAAACAAATTGAAATCTGCAAAAATATTTCTGAAAGGGTGATCACAGGTGGGCTGCTTTGGGAGTGCAGTAAAGTGGTTTGTATAGGCAGGTGATGTTTTTATAAAGATGGTCATTAACAAGGGTTTGAATGTAGTGTCAATGCCTGACTTATGGTATAGATGGCTGTCTTCCTTGATTAATTAATAATCATTGTTTGCATACAGGTAGAAGACAAAGTGAAATCAACTCACCGAAAGTACATGCTTCAAGAACAACTTAAAATTATTAAAAAAGAACTTGGCCTGGAAAAAGACGATAAGGACGCCATTGAGGAAAAATTTAAAGAAAGACTGAAGGTGAGAATGACTTTATCTAGAAACTTGAAACGTGTCTTTTGTTGCCCAGCAATAAAAACTGTTGTTTTTCTCTTCATCTTTTTTCATGTTGAATTGACTACTTCATACATCTTTCTGTGAGCAGGTGACTGTTTTCTTCAGAATGAATGAATAAATGAAAAAATCATCATCAATATATCCAACTGATTGGTCTTGCCTGTGAAAGAAAAATGATAATTTTCACGATCCAATTATCTGAGAAGGTCATGCATGATGTGTTTCAGTTGTCATAACACATCCAAGAGTTTCTTTTTGCAAAGAGTCACTGGCCTTTCTCATTATTCAACAAGCCAGGAGCTTTAACTTGATATTTTGGTGTATGTTTATTTCATTTCCAGTACTATTGTCTTGTCTCATTCTAGCAGTGAAAGAACCCCCTGTCCAGTGCGAGTTCTGTGGGTGCTCAATAGCAATAAGCAGGCCTTACACTGTGACAACCAGTCACTAAAAATTAACATTTTATTTCAGGATAAAGTAGTACCTAAAGCTATACAGGAAGTCATTGATGAAGAAATGAATAAGTTAGGTTTCCTAGACAACCATTCATCTGAATTCAGGTAAGATTATAAATTAGGTAAGGCAATATAGATGCTGTATCTTAATGCTTCTGTGATTATGTTATGATATATCTGCTCAATTTATGTATTTCATCAACTACTAAGTGCAAGGTATCAATAATTCCACTGTGTTTACCTTGTCCCTGATGTTACTGACTTCTGCATACACTTTTAAGCTCTACTCCACAGTTTCTCTAATTTTTGCAAAAAAGACTATTTTTGACTTATTGTTGGAAGCAGATTGCCCGATTGCTTCTTTATTGTATCTGCAGACACCTCAAGAAGTAGAAATTTGTCAGATTTATTATTCCCAATTTGGACGAAGTTCTAAAAACAAGGACTTGACCTGTGTGTGTCTGTCTGTCCGTATCCAACCATATCTCACATATTCTCAAACATATATATGTATTATAATGTTACTAAGGGCAAGGTTTCCATAATTGTTTTTTTTTTAGTGTAACAAGGAATTATCTTGACTGGTTGACTACCCTACCATGGGGTGTTTACAGTGAGGAAAATTTAGATTTAAAAATAGCTAAAGGGGTCCTTGAAGAAGATCATTATGGAATGGAGGATGTCAAGAATAGGATTCTGGTTAGTTCATTAGGGTCTGTTTGCACCCTATTTTTCTTCTTTTTCTTTTTCCACCATTTTTTTTGTCGCCCTAGAATTTGAACACCATTCCCCCTAGTCTAGATATCTTATTGGGGACTATGAAATCTGGTGCACCAAACTTTCAGAAGTTTGAGTGATTGACTTTTTTTTTGGCAACCATCTTGAAGTTTAGTTAAACAGTATGTGGCCATTTTGAACCCTCTCTGAGTGTTTAGACATGATGAATTTTTTGTAGTAGCAATTTTTTATGATTTTTTTGTTTCTCATGTACTATCAAACAAAATTCAATGAACTTCGTAGATAGATGGTCTGGGATAAAGTACATACCTAATTAGTTTTTGGTTAAAAGCCTGTGAATAGTAATTACCTAATTTGCATATTCATTGGTCAATTTTAAGTCTTTTCACTTTTTTCTTATGTATCATAAAACAGATTTCAATGAAACATTGTATATAGATGCCCTGGGATAAAGCACAGACCTGATTAGTTTTGAGTTGGAATCTGTGCATATTATTTACCTAATTAGCATAATAATTAACCAATTTTAAGTACCATTCAACAGATTTCAATGAAACATGGTACATAGATGTATTAATTACCTAATTTGCATATTAGTATTTAACTTTTCCACCAATATCTTAACCACACATCAGCTTCAATGAAACTTGGTACTTAGGTTTTTTGGTTTACTAGTTACCTAATTTGCATAAATTAGCTTTCTTGATTACACTATTATTTTATTTTATGCTTTTGTTCATGAAACTCGCATAAAAAATCAGATTTTGGAGAATACTTTTTACCAAAATGTCCATTTTTGACATTTTGTTATTTTTTCTCTGAAAGTATGATTTGTACCGAGTAAAAACACCCAAAAGGTCATAGTATATACCCAAATCCATAATTAAGTAATACTTTAGAAGCAAATTTGTGATACAATTTTTACCCTATTTAATAAATCAAATACCTGTGTCCATTATTAATAGATTCTCTGTTCATTTACCAAAAAAAATGGCCGCCTACCAACGACCTAATGACATCATAGTTACTGGATAGTACTAGCGAGTACCTTAAAAGTCAACTCTAACCTTTCACCTTTCACCTTCATTTATCTTTAAAATAGGAGTTTATTGCTGTCAGCCAGCTCAAAAAATCTACTCAGGGTAAAATATTGTGCTTTTATGGACCTCCTGGTGTGGGTAAAACCAGTATTGCCAAGTCTATAGCCAAGGCTTTGAATAGACAGGTGAGTATTAAGACAAGGTGACTGTAAACCGTTCATTCGCAGTCAAAAATCTTAGCAATATGAATGTAATTATGGTGACTATTTAACGAAAGTCACTGTGACTCCCGGTGTAAAAAAATCCAGTAACATTTTTGTTGATGAAAAATGAATGGAAACCAAAAAAAACACAAATGTATCTTCTACCATCAAGTTTCTCAGAAAATTTGCAAGTTTAAAAGTTTCTTTATTTACAGAATTGGCCAAAAGATATTTTGTTTTTTGTGTGACAGTAACTGACACGGGTGATAAGTGCATAAATTATTAAAAATTTAGAAAACATTGCTTATTTCAACTTACCAACTTGCCATGACATGTTGCATTGTTCGGACAATTACTTAAAAAACTTATTGATTGACCTTCGTGTGTCTGTCCGTCAGTGCCTGTCCAGCAGTATCTCATACATGCTTGGACCAATCAAGTTTGAATTTCACACTTACATCGAACTATATATTAGACATGCATGTTATGCACATGCATTTGTTTCATAATCAATTCAAGATGGCCGAAAGCCAGCCATTTTAAGGCCAAAATATATGCATAATGGCACATGTACCGGTACATTATTCTGGAATCAAATCTCAGTCCAATCTGATTAAAATCTGATATAGTGTACAGGTTTTAATTATTTTGGCTATAAACTTATTTTAATTTTATTTTTTATTACTTTTGTTATTAATGTCTTTTTATTTTACTTTGATTTTGTGATTTTTTTTTTAATTCCACCCTACATACATCTGATCCGATGCCTATGTAACAAGATTTCAACGAGACCCACTATCGACGATTTTAGTCAACGAATCACAGACCTCCTTCTATAGCGCACATGACGACATCACCGGGCAGAGTCAAGTAGCAAACACACTCAAATAAAATGGCGGATTATAGATAGGCCGCAGTGTCTTGTGTTGATTGGTGCACCTAATTGCAGGCCAGCACCGTACTTTGGATAACAATCAAAAGAAATTGCATTTATACTTTGTATTAAATGTAGAACAACTGCCACTGATTATTGTATAAAATCAGTTGGCATGGCAACAAATCATGAAATATTGGAGTTCTGGATGGAGGGTGGTCACAGTGTAATCACAAAATAAATAGTAACAATAACTTTAAAAACATTAATGCCTTTTTGTATGATAAAAAACATAAATACAAAGAAATACAAAAAAATTAAAAGAGAAAATAAAAGAAAAAAATATCAGTCGATAAAATAAAAGAAAAAAATAATTAATTACTTTTGTGGTTTTAAAAATTGTGCTCGTCAAATATTTTGCTAATTTAGCTATGTTATTATAAAACATACTGTTCATTGTTGTAATAACTCAATGCCACTTTCCGTTATTTTAGAAGGTTCTTTATAAATTCAATGTCACGGTTCTGTTTGGTATGATTTCTGTACTCAAACTGTACGCAAAATCAGAATGCATTATGATCCTGACATTATTCAGGTTGTTTTCTACAGATTATAGGGCGGCAGTCGTCGCGCCGCGTCCTGTTTGATATGGGATGTGAGTACTTTTGTTTTAAAGCATGCAGTACCAGATTCTCATTTTTGACATGCCTGGACTGACTATGCTCAAACTTCACGCATACGTCTCACATCACATCGGACAAATGTATGCGATATTCCTAATACCAGCATTAGGTGTCAGTTGATGGATATTGCCTCAGTAGTCAAGTGTTATCTCGCACCTTATAACACAAGCAGGAACATTAACAATGCTTTTTTTTTTTACTTTTCATCTTCAGTATTTTAGATTCAGTGTTGGTGGAATGACTGACGTCGCTGAAATAAAGGGTCATAGGTAAGAGATGTGTATCTTCTAATACTATCCTCTGTTACAATATGTAATATGGCTGCGTACTGTTCTTGTAATAATATTGATATGATGAAATGCCTACTTAGCGGTATACTTGTAATAACCTCGTATTTATTTATTGTTAAAAGGCGTACATATGTTGGGGCCATGCCTGGTAAGATGATACAGTGTCTGAAGAAAACCAAAACCGAGAACCCGCTAGTTTTAATTGACGAGGTGAGGCTTAATGCAAAATACACACGTAGTAGACGGGCAACTGTTGATGTAGTAGTCAGGCAACTGTTGACGTAGTAGTCGGGCAACTGTTGACGTAGTAGTCGGGCAACTGTTGACGTAGTAGTCGGGCAACTGTTGACGTAGTAGTCGGGCAACTGTTGACGTAGTAGTCAGGCAACTGTTGACGTAGTAGTCGGGCAACTGTTGACGTAGTAGTCGGGCAACTGTTGACGTAGTAGTCGGGCAACTGTTGACGTAGTAGTCAGGCAACTGTTGACGTAGTAGTCGGGCAACTGTTGACGTAGTAGTCGGGCAACTGTTGACGTAGTAGTCGGGCAACTGTTGACGTAGTAGTCGGGCAACTGTTGACGTAGTAGTCAGGCAACTGTTGACGTAGTAGTCAGGCAACTGTTGACGTAGTCGTCAGGCAACTTAGCAGATGCAACCAACATATTGTCTTGGTAATTACAATTTTGTTATTAACTTCTCCTTCCAATTACTCAACAGGTTGACAAAATTGGTAAAGGTTATCAAGGCGACCCCTCCTCAGCCTTATTAGAGTTGTTGGATCCAGAACAAAATCATAACTTTTTAGACCATTATTTAGATGTACCAACTGACTTATCAAAGGTAATTTCCTATAATATTTTTTTTATTTTTTTTTAAATTTGCAATTCATTTTGCTTTTTAACCAACCCACCCTAGTCCTAACCACATCATTAAATTATGTCAAATTACGCACAATTCACAAAATAAACATAATTTAGTCATATTTTTTCAACAAGAAAAATTACCAAAATCTGTAGCCAGTAGGAAATTATGTGCATTTGGCTCACAATAATCAAGATATTCTAGCAAAATACATAAAACTGTTCAAAACTTACATATTGGTAGGCTGTTAAAGGGTTCACATGCTTGTTCACATGCTTGTTCACATGCTTGTTCACATACTTGTTCACATGCTTATTAGCATAGAGCTTTACATCTTGTGGTTTCTTTCCTTTATTTTTATGCTTGGTGATATTTTTTTGTCGAATTTACCTCTTCAGTTCACGTACTTTGAGGGAATTCCTAATACTATTTTTTTACTTATGCATATCTAATTATCAATACTTTTGAATCTATTATCCAGGTGTTGTTTATTTGTACAGCTAACGTTACACATACAATTCCTGAGCCTCTGAGAGATCGTATGGAAATGATCGATGTATCCGGGTATGTGGCTGAAGAGAAAGTCAACATAGCAGAAGTATGTGGTAAAATCTTTTAATATTATCAAAATTTTCCAACAAAAAAACAGCACCATATGAACATAATAACAGCAGCAAACTAAAACATGGAAAACTTATGGATTCTATGTGAATCCAAGGATTTATAAGATAAGGGTATACAACTGGTATGATATGTGATGCAGATCCATTTAGAACATCTTGCGATAACAGTAATTACTAAACCACACTCACAACAGGCTTTTCTTTAAATACTAAATGCATTGAGCAATTTTATAAAAGAACTGGTTAGTGTTCACATCTCTTGCTGTTTTTGTGTGTATCTTTCATGTTCTATATTCAAATACGCTTTACCAATGCATAAAACATGATAAATTGATGAGTGCATAGAACTTTTGAGGTAATATGATCTCACATCAATGTACATAAATCAAAATGGCATACCCTTAATATGAACTTTTTTCCCAACAATTTTATTTCTACACAAAATTTCAGTGGCCAACATTACAGAATCGGACTACCTACCAGAATAGGTCAGGCTTCTGCACCATATCATTATAAAATATGTAAATAATGCATTAATTATATTTAATATTTCAGAAATATTTAATACCGCAAGCTCGTGAGAATAGCGGTCTGACAGCTGAGCAGTTGAATATTACCACAGATGCTATGACAACCCTTATAAAAGCATATTGCCGAGAGAGTGGAGTCAGAAATTTACAAAAACATATCGAGAAAGTAAGCCTTGAAAGATGATTTTTTTTTCTGCATGATTTTTATTTGCAAGTATATCATTCAAAGCATTTCTGTAAAAGGAGTGTATCATAAATCTAATCATATGTTGTATCATGAATCTAATCTTGTGTATCATAAATCTAATCATGTGTATCATAAGTCTAGTCATGTGTATCAAATCTAATCATGTGTATCAAATCTAATCATATGTACATGTATCATAAATCTAGTCATGTGTATCATAAATCTAGTAATGTGTATCAACTCTGATGTTATCAAATCTAATCATATGTATCGTAAATATAAAGTGTATCATAAATCGAATCATGTGTATCATAAATCTTATCATTTTTATCAAATCTAATTATACGTATCATAAATCCAATCATATATACCATAAATCGAGTCGTATGTGTCATAAATTTAATCATGTGTATCATAATGTGGGTAATTTTGTATTACAGATATACCGCAAAGCAGCTTTCAAAATTATCAACGATGAGGTCGCCTCTCTTGATGTCACTAAAGATAACTTGCAAGATTTTGTTGGTAAACCTTTGTTTACTAGTGACAGAATGTATGAAACCACACCCCCTGGTGTTGTCATGGGATTAGCTTGGACTGCTATGGGTAAGGAACATTCTTGCATTGAAATCAGTTCACAAAAGTTGGAATATAAGCCCGCTGATATTGAATGTTATTTGCCAGGCATCATGCCCTTTCAAGACGTGAACTGGGTGACACTATAGTTTTCATACCATAATTAGACTTTGTATCAAAGTACAGGATCACATCGGCATCAGAATGGAATTCTCACTATTTTGCAAGGGATGATGTTGTATTTCAAACTATTTTTTTTTTAATATGCAGTGTTCCCATTTATCTCCTGCAGAGGGTATTTTACCTGCAACTTTGATTTTGCACCCTCATATTACAAATGAAAGGGTGCAGAAAACCCCTCAATTTTAAAAATCATTCGGAATAATAAAGTAAATTAACCCTTGCTTGTTTCTGTGTACCCTTATTTTATAAATGAGAGGGTATAGAAACCCCCACTTTAAAAACTTGGTGGGAATGCTGATATGATACTAGAATAACGAAGCCTTAGATTTGTGAGTGGAATTTTAGCGAAAACTAACCAGGTTGAAATGACAGATTATACATTCCAAATATTGCTGCTACAGGCTTAAACTGAAGGAGACGCCACCTGTGCTTGTGGCAAATGGCCATAGCATGTCATTGTTTACAAACAAGCATCCACTCATTAACCTTTGTGTTTTCATTATGCATTGCTATCATCGCTCGGGACTCAATTTCCGCACATGCGCAAGTGATGACCCCCCCCCCCCCCATCCCTGTGTGTGCACTTTAATCAATTTCACCGTAATTGATGATGTTATTTGATTTGAAAAATAAACTCGGAGTAGTTAACTTATTATGTGTAAAATAGCCCTATTTTAAGTTTTTGCCTTGGAAGTTTACAGTTACCATGGTGTTGGACATGTACAAAAATATAATATAGCCACCAATCCCAAGACGTGCCAATTGAAGACTTAATAAAAATATTAATAACTTTTGCTGATAAGTGAAACCCACTAAATTAAATCCATGTGGATATGTAAAGAAACAATAGATCTCATTGTTTCACTGTCAAATCCATGAACTTAAAACCCTGTGAATAAAATTAATTAATTAATGAATGGTTTTATACAAATCACTAACATTGCTTTATTTTGTGTAGGTGGTTCAACGTTGTACATAGAGACTGCTATTAAAAGACATGAAAGTGATGCAAAAGACGGTTCAATGGAACTTACAGGACAGCTTGGAGATGTCATGAAAGAAAGTGCTCATATTGCTTACACCTTTGCCAAATCTTTCTTAATGAAAGATGATAATAAATTCTTCAATCAAAATCATATACATGTACATGTTCCTGAGGTAGGTCCTGATAAATTAAAAAGGTTTATGTTATTCTATTAATATTCTATGGTATTATCTGAATAGAGAGTAGATTAACACAACATTAAATATACAGCTTCAGTTTTGTAAATTTATTTTAGTCGTGAAATTTGTTGATTGAATACCCTTCATTAATGGTCAAGCTAATTATGTTGTTTGACACTGTGAATGTAATGATGAGCTGTGGGAAAAACAAGTCGTAATGGTTTTTGTGCTATCTATGAGATCTCTGTGACCATTTGCTAGACTGACTCAGCTGTGGCAGTTTTATAATTCTTTCTTAAATTTCAGATTCTACACAATCTTTGAGGAATTATCATTAAAAAAATCATTGTCACGACTGGGCCAGTCTAGTCATTTGTATCAAAGGTCCATTTCCCATGGCAAATAAAAATTTCACAGTATATGCTTTATTAACCCAAGTTATACCCCATTAACTCGAGTTATACTTTATTAACCAGAGTTATACCTTATTGCTTGTTTGACATTGAAATATATTATAATGCAAATGCCAAAGAATGAACCATCATTGCCGATGAATTTAATTTTTTTCGGTTTCCAGGGTGCTACTCCAAAAGATGGCCCAAGTGCAGGATGTACAATTATAACAGCCCTAGTGTCGCTTGCATTAAATAAACCAATCAGACATAATACAGCAATGACTGGAGAGGTTTCATTAACGGGTAAAATATTACCAGTTGGTGGAATCAAAGAAAAAACCATAGCAGTAAGCATACATTAATTATTAAATGTTCTTCTAAACAGTTTGTATATATGTAGATAATACTGTTATTTTGTAGCCAAACCAACAATTTGAAGAGTTGATGAAAAACAATTTTCCATATCTTATTTGATCTCTTATTAGTGCATCTTTAATACTACCGGGGTAGTATCGGTACTTCATTCATTAGTTTGATTGACACACCTTTGCTTGTCAATTGACCATTTTCTGTTCACTGCGAGAATCACGCGTTATGCGTGAAATCGAATGTAAAAACAGTCCAAACTAAGGTCATAGTGTCGTTGTAGTGTCAAACATCGTGTGGGATTCGACAAATGCGAAAATATTTTGGGGATATTTCCATGATTAATAATGTGCTGTACACATTTGATGATAGACAATTTCGATTAAGTGAGGGTATTCGAAAGCAATATTCCTCTGTCGAGGATTGGCCAGTCGATGTGAGCTACGAAACAAAAATTTGGGTTCAAAATCAAATATCGCGTCTTTCATGCATCTTGCGAAATCTCACAGTTGAATGGAAAATCACCCATTACATATTAAAGTATGTGCTACTATTAGAGCAAATTTTTATTATTATGGCTTACTTTCTACTAACAATAACCATATGCTGTTTTTTTCTTCTGCGCAGGCTCGTCGTGCTGGTGTTGATTGTATAATTCTTCCTAAAGAGAATAAAAAAGACTTTGCTGATCTTCCCGAATTCATTACAGAAGGATTAGAAACCCATTTTGTTGACCATTATAAAGATGTTTTCAATATTGTCTTTACGTAACGGTGAACTGTTTTATACGCTGGTTTGTGTATTGTTTATAGTTTCAAGGAGTATATAAATATACTATGTTAACTTTGCAGGAAGCACATTTCGAATAATAAATGTTTATGGACGCCAAACATGTTTTAGTGGGATTTTAAGAACACCGTAAATTTGTTGTGTTTGTGTACAGTTCCTTGATCTTTAAGCCTGTGCTAAGAAAAGTGTGACTTAGTATGTACCGGTACTAAATCTGATGCATTTTCAGGACCCAGTCCTAGCCTTAGTACAGACTATAACAAAATGTAAATGGCTAGCTCGGTTTACTGTAATGAGAAATCAAAGTTAAAAAAAAAATGTTTGCAAATACCCCTGGTAGTTTAATTAGGTTGTTTATCCCTCAAGGGTAATGCTTTTAATAGTCTGTGGTTACAATAGATACATCCCATGAGAAGACACAACTGGGTCTAGCAGACATGTGACACATATGGCATTAGCATATAATGTTTGTCCCAGTAAATTGGAAACTATGTTTTTGTTATCAATACAGTATGTCTTACGATTGTGTTAAAAAATTACGTGTCACTACACTTTGTGTGTAATGCATGAGGCTGATTTATCATATTTGCTCTGATTAGTACCATGAATCATAGGTGAATACCAGAAGTCTGTCTATGATTAAAACAGTTTTAGAGCAGTTTTACAGAGCAGAGTTTTAGAGCAAATAATGGTAGTACAATGTAGGGTCAGCTGCTACTTGACCCTTTATGGTCAAGTATATTATTCAATTGGAATGACAATTATGAATAGTTAGAAGTAAAAATGGAAAGTTATTATGAAGAAAGCTTTGTGATTTCAGAAATGTTGAATTAAATATACCGATGCATGCATGTGCATTAGATCTGTGTTTTTGTGCATGTGAGTGCTCGGCTTATAACGATTAGTTAATCATTTGGTGATGTCAAGATTTGATAAGATAAGGGTATGCAAGATATCATGCAAATTTTGACATGATCAGAAAATCACAAGACAAACGTACATTTCTGGACATGGAAATGAATATGCAAAGAAAACATTTTGTGGTCATTTCAGGTTGTTTTTGCATATTTTTACTTTCTGTTTCCACAATTGCATTGTCATTGGTCAGTTTTCTTGACATGTATGGAACTTGCATGTAATGAGATCTTCGCTTATCACCATGCATGGAAATCAAAACTGCATACCCATGACATTTATCATAGGTGGGGTGGGGAGGGGTGGGGGGTTGTGGTGAATTTGTTAAATACAAAATTTGCAAGCTAGACACGGAGAAAAAAAAAATTGCATGCAAGGTGCTACAGGGTAAAACTGTTGGCACAATAAAAAAAAAACTATTCAGACACCGCAAAAAAAAAGTTGCCCTGGTAACACACTGAACAAATCACTAGCATGGCATAGTGCAACACATTTTTGATAATTGTACTCATGGAATTTACTGGCCATCTTTGATGTAGGTTCTCCTTGACAGTGCATTGAATAAAGTAAATTGAACAATCTTAAGACTCTTGCATAATTTCACATTATACTCATTCGTATAGCATGTAGAATATCCTTCCAATAAATAGTGTCAGTAGTAAAAAAAAATCTGTTCATCGTTGTGTTGGATCAAGCAAAATACCGGTATGATATAAATTTTATGATAAACATTTTTGGCTTGCAAATGTACATGGAGATACATGTAGAATTCCATAGCAGCAAAAGTTATTTACAATATCGGCTCATATATATATAATGTGTTATGGCTGATACTTAAAAGGATGAAATCTCAATATACCGGTATATATGTATATTTACTTTTGTGTACTTTTTTCAATCAAACAACAGTTGACAATTCTGGACCATGTCAATGGACATAAACTGGTTGGAATTGCAGAATTTATTTCTTTTATAGCTCCATGTTGGAACCAATTTATACATTTTGAGTAATAATCTAAAGTGCCTGGGAATTTAAAACTCATTGCAATCACCTACATGTACTTAGAAATACAGTTAATTGCACAAGTAGCCAAACTTGTGATCAGCACAACAACTTGGCTCGCAAACCAATCAGATGATACCAATCATTTCCTAGCATACAAGATAAGCACGCCAGGCAGAGATTGAGAAATATAATCCTGTTATGTTTAATATGCCAGAAATAGCTTTAGATTGTCATAATTAAATGATTGTAAATAGCTGAAAACATGTTAAATATTCATTCATACGTGTATCATGAAAGTCATTAAATTCACAGTAAAAAAAATATGTTTTCTCCCGAAAGTACAAAATGACTTGGTGGTTCACACAATACATGCAAGGCTCTGGCAACTGTATAATTTAAATAGTGTCTATTAAATTGATGCCATGAAATATACATTTTACATATGAAGTCGAGAAAAATTGTAAATTTTTAGTTAATACTGCTGGTAGTATTGTATCACCATGTTGGAACAAGGTGCACAAATATTGGACATTAATACTGTTAATAGTTCGGTACATTTTGAAAAAAAATATAGTAATATTAATCAGCAATATCAATGACAACGATGCGATAACTACTATTTTAAGTACTATTTTCACTTGCTGGGATACTACATACCGAAATTATTATAGACTAATATTTACTGTTTACTGTCGAGGTCTTGCGGAATGTATGAAAGACGCAAATAAAACGTCTGCCGCAAAAATCAAATTATTTGATTTGAGCTAAATTTTCTTTTTATAGTTTAACTTAGAAATGTATATCTTTCACAAAAGGAATATTGCGTTGGGATAAACTGAATTCATCAAAGGTGTATGGCATGGAAATACCCAAAAATTTGTTTCGCATTTGGTGAATCCAATGTGATGTTTCGATGCTAGTACATGACCTTTGTTTGCCCGGATTTCACATTTGATTTCACAGAAAGCGCAGGATCTCACAGTAAACGGAAAATGGTCTATTTAGGAATCATCTTTAGAACACATCAATCTTTACTGGTGTCTAATTTAGAACTCTTAAAGTTTATTGGAACAGATTCTTCATTTTATTTTTTTTTATTATTTTTCAATTTACGCAATGTTTAATAAATCATTCAACTCGTACAATTCTTGGATTTCATCGTATACTATTTGAGCTATATTGGTAACCGGGGTGATCAGTTCCACAACTTTCTCAGGCTCATGTTTGCAAAATGTTTCCATCAATGTTTTTCGTTTTGGTAATGTGTGTACTGCCAATGCCGCGGCTTTTCGTACAATCCACATATGGTGTTTAGACAACGTTTGATGATACACCTCCATTGCCATCGTTGGTACTTTATCAGATTCAGTGCTGTCGCGAAATCTCACCATGAACTTTATTATAAATTGCAATGCGTAATGCAGGCGTAAGAGTGACTGTGATCCAGATTTCAGATGAGTGGCAGATTTTTTTTTTGTTAACTTGTTTTTAACTTCATAATCTATCATCGACTGGACGGTGACATAATGCTCTCCATAACTACACTTCCTGTGAGCTTGCAAAGTGTGAATTTCATCTTCCAAGTCACGGGCAACAAAGCTGAATATTGGTCCCAGTAGTTCAAAGAACCTACCGAGAAAGAAAAAAAAAAGTTGTAACATTACTGGAAGATTACCTAGGTATTTCAAGCTGTTCTCAGCACCACAAGCTCCCAACAATTAGTATTTATAATTGTAGTATTATCTGATCACAAATAAACTCAAATCAAAGAAAGCATTAATTTAAATCGGATAATTTTTTTGTATTTCAACCCTAAACTTAAGGTAGCGGGACTATTATTTGCATACTTGTTTTCATCTTCTAATTGTGACTGAATGACTACAAATAGACCCGGGAAAGTATATATTTTTAGAATCGCCAGACTTCAAGCTTTTCACAAGTGTATTTTGCATGCCCGTATCTGCATTCTACGACGCGGTACTCAATCAAAGGTGAAAAATTACTTTTTCTGTAAAAAAAATAATTACGCATTTATGCTGGCGGTAAGAAGTATTTTCTTCACTTTTCCTAGTTGTTCAATAGTCTGGTAAATTGAATGTGTCTGGTCAGTTTTATTCAAGCAACGCGTTTTAAAATATAGTGTGCTGAATTTCAATTACTGTTTTAGTCGCATTGCCCCCAACTCAAACCACAACTCGTTGGTAAATAATCAATGAAATAGTTTGTCTGGACACATTCAAGTTCCTCTCATTGTCACCTTAAAGCTGTGAAAATTTGGTG